AGCGGGACGCAGCGGACGCGGCGGGTTCACCCGCGGCAGTTGGCGCGGCTGAGGCGGCGGCGGCTCCGGCCTGGCTCTCTCCATGGAGGGGCGGGGGACGCCCCCAGCCTGGTCCCGCCCGGATTGTGAGCTCAGCCGTTTGTTGGCGACCTGCCCCCTCCCCCTTTCGGTTAAGACCCTTCCAAGACCTTTGCTACCCAGAACCCTACGCGGCTCGAAACGCAGCCGTCTGTCTCAGCCTCGCCCAATCACAAGCGTCCGGGAACCCCCGGCCCGCCAATCGCAGGCGTGCTCTCCAGCACCGCCCGCCCTCCGCTCTCGCCTCGTGCCGAGACCTCGAATCACCCACGCTGGCTGGGGCTGCGGTACCTGTTGACCATTTTCCCCTTCTGACTCTCCCTCTCTTCCGTAGTTCTCTTCCGGCCGTTGTCCCTAGTTACCCCTCCCCCGCCCGCTGCTCCTGACAATGGCGTTGCCCAGGAAACGGTGCGGTTCCATGCCACTGACATCCAGGGGATACAGTCGTGAGTCTCTTAAGCTGGCTGGGAACAGGGCGTTGTGCACGTGCCCTGCCGGCCAGAATACACTGTCATGAGCATCAGCAGGTCCTTGGGCTCTTTGTCAGGGGATATGGGGGAAATGTTGCAACTTACCCTTAACTCATTCGTTGATGTTACTGGGAAGGATCTTTGACTTTGTGCAGTTACTGTTACTAAACTTTCTATTTGTTTATTTTCAGAAACGAAGTCTTGCTATGTTGTCCAGGCTGGTCTGTGAACTCCTGGCCTCAAGCGATCCTCCCACCACAGCCTCCCAGAATGCTAGGATTACAGGTGTGAGCTACTGGTGCCTGGCCTACACTTTTAATTAATGAGTCACCAGATCCTGTGCATCCTACTTTCAAAATACATCTCAAAATTCATCCACTTGTTTGTGCCTCTACTGCCATTACCTTGGTCCAGGCTTCCACCATCTTTCACCTTGATAATGCCCTGTAAATGGTCTCCCTGCTTCCATGTCTTGCCCCACTACTCTCCAACTGCCAGTCATCTTTCAAAAACACAAATCTGGTAATCTCATACCCCTTTTCTTAAGTCTTTTCATGGCTCCCCACTGACCATGGGATAAAGGTCTAAAATCTTTGGCAAAGCCTACAAATCCCTGAATGGCCTGTGCTGTACCTACTACTACTGCTCACCACGGTAGCCTTGCCTCTTTGGGCTTCAGCTGCATTGGCTCCTTAGCATTCTGTTGCTACCACAGGACCTTTGAGTATGCCTGGGCAGGTTATTCCTTTCTTTGTTTCAACTCCTGCTCATTTTTAAATAGCTCCACTGGCACTTCTTCAGAAATGCCTTCTCTGGCTCTGAACATCAGGTCAGATCTCCTTTATCCACTTATGACTCCATTATTTCGTTTAGAGCACTTACCATGATTTGTAATTATGTTTATGCAATCACTCTACTCTCCCATTTGACTATCTCCCACTTGACTGTAAAGGCCTTGAGATCAGAGTGTTGGCATTTTGCTCATCACTGAATTCCTGATGCTGACCATTGAGCCTGGCATATAGTGAGTATTTTGGCAGCTCATGCCTGTAACCCCAGCACTTTAGGGGCCAAGGCGAGAGGATTGCCTGAGCCCATGGGTTCAAGACTAGCTTGGGCAACTTGGTGATACCTTGTCTCTACAATAAAATAAAATAAGATAAAAAATAACCAGGCTGGTGGTGCACACCTGTGGTTCCAGCTACTTGGAAGGCTGAGGCGGAAGGATCGCCTGAGCCCAGCAGGTCAAGGCTGTGGTGACCATGATCATGCCACTGCACTCCAACCTGGATGACAGAGTGAGACTCCAATTCAAAAAAAAAAAAGAGTAAATGAATAGAGACTGCCATTGTCTAATAATGAAAGAGTAATAATCACTACCTATATTAAGCACTTCTTACTCTTATGCTAGATACTGCTCCAAATCCATGCCAATGTTTATGCCTTTCCTTTTACTGGGATGTTTATTTCCAGTAAACATCACCAAGAAAAACAAGAAATCCTGTTTTCACAGGATTTCTTTCTTTTTTTTTTGAGTTGGAGTCTCACTCTGTCGCCCAGACTAGAGTGCAGTGGCTGCTCCCGGCCACCGCAGCCTCGACCTGCTGGGCTCCGGCGATCCTTCCGCCTCAGCCTTCCAAGTAGCCGGAATTACAGGCATGTGCTACCACACCCAGCTGATTTTTTAATTTATTGTAGAGATGAGGACTTGCTGCCCAGGCGGGTCTCGAACCCACGGGCTCAGGCAATCCACTCACCTCAGCCTCCCAAAGACCGGGATTACAGGCTGAGCCACCGATTCCGGCTTTTCACAGGATTTCTAAATGACATTCTGCGTTTCTAAATGACATTCTGACCAAAAGCTATATATTTATCCTGAGTAGGTGACTTTTGCAGCTGAGTTGGAATCTCACTCTGTGGCCCAGACTGGAGTGCAGTGGCACAATCACAGCTTACTGCAGCCTCCACCTCCTAGGCTCAGGTGATCCTTCCACCTCAGCCACCTGAGTAGTGGAACTACAGGCACCATGCCTGGCTAATTTTTAGATTTCTTATTTTGTAGAGATGAGGTCCTGCTGTGTTACCTAGGCTGGTCTTGAACTTCTGGGCTTAAGCAGTTATCTTGCTTTGGCCTCCCAAAGTGCTGGAATTACAGGTGTGAGCGACCACACCCAGCCCCAATTCTCTTTCTAATCCTCTGTTGTTAAATGTGGTAAACAGGTGTTTTTATACCTGGCAGGTAGACAGTGTCTCCCAAACTGTTTAATCTCAGAAAGCTTTTATTCCCGTAAAAACTACTGAAGAGCTTTTGTATATGTGGATTTTGCTTATCGATATTTACCATATTATAAATAAAAACTGAAATTAAAAAATGTATTTAACACATTTTAATTAAAAATTTTTTTCAAAAATTCAAAGAGCAGCATTGTGGATCTAATATCTGGCTTAATAGAAAAATTAAAAAATAAAACAGCTGTATTCTCATACTAGTTTTTTCATTCAGTCTGTTTTGATTCCTGTGTTATGTAGGCTCTGGAAGACTACCGTACTCTCATGGGAGAATAAAGTAAAAAGAGCAAATATTGTATTATACAAGAGGGGACCCAAAAAACCTGGAATTTTTATTTTTGTATTCTTACATGTTTAAACTTTAGTTACCTCTAAATTACTCTCTGTTTGATGCAGTATACCTATTGAGATGCTTTTTCCACTGCTCAAAACAGTTTTTAACTTGTAGATTTTGATGCCCTTTAGTGCTCCTGCCATCTTTTGCTTCACCTCCTCCACACTGGCAAAACGTTTTCCTTTATGGACTTTTTTCATGCAGGCAAACAAAAAACAGTTGCTCGGGGTGAGACCAGGTGAATAGGGAAGGTGGGACATGGAAACCATGCTATTTTTGGTCAAAAACTACAGTATACTCAGAACGATGTGGGCAGGTACGCATGTAAATCACCCTTTATGAAATGGGCAAATGCATTGGAAGACTCTCCACCAAAAGAAAAAAGAAAAAAAAAAATTCACTGAACCTGAATGCAGCCTCTCAAAACAATGCTAGCTGATGACAACGGGTTCTTAGAACACTTACTTAGTGGAGGAAGCCTGTACTACAAGGGCCTGCCTCCCAAAAGATAACTCCAGTTTTGTTTTATTTGTTTTTTTTTTTTTTAGTCCTCCCCTCATAATTATTCCAAGAGTAGTGTTAATCTAGCAGATTCTCTGAAAGAGTCACTTTGAGAACCACTAAACTGAGGACTAAATGAAAGAGCCAAGTGTATGCATAAGCAAAAACTCATAAAAGAAGCAGACAAATCAAGTTGGTGTTGCTACTGTGCAGGATTTTAGTCCATGTTCTAGTCTGAATTGTCAAAAATTAATTGGCAATATATGCATGGGTTTATTTCTGAATTCCCTGTTCTGTTCCCTCAATTTATATACCCTACTTTATGCCAATGCCATATTCTTGATTACTGTGGCTTTATGATAAGTTTTGAAATTAGGTCAAGCAAGTTCCTGATGGTGCTGTGACTATGATTGTTTTCTCAATTTCCCTTCTAGTTGGCTATATGTTGATTTTCATATTTTCATGCCTTATTGCACTGGCTGGAACCTCCAGTCCAAGTTAAATATAAGTGGTGAGAATGGACATTTTTGATTTGTACCCAGTCTTAGGAAGAAAACATTCAGTTGTTGACCTTTAAGCAAACGGGTAGTTGTAGGTTTATATATCAAATGAAGGAAGTTTCCTTCTATTTCTAGTTGTTTCATATCATAAATAGTAGTTCAGTTTTATCAAATACTTTTTCTGCATCTATTGAGATGATTATATGGCTTTCTCTGTTATTCTCTGGGGCAGCAAAACTTTTCAGAAAGGGCTGTATAGCAAATAATTTTCATTTTGTGAGCTCTGTAAATTATAAAGGAACAGGAAATGTTATTTATTTAATGATGGAAACCTACCTGCAATTATTTTCAATAGATTCCTTGTAATGCATTAGTTGAGTAGTGTCTCTGTAAATTCATCCCCAGAACCTTAGAATATACAACCTTTTTTGGTAATAGGGTGTTGGGAGCCAGCCTTGGAGACCCACCTGATTGACAGGGTCCTGGTGTGCCGAAGACCCCGGGCTGCAGGGCGAGCCCAGGAAGCTGAGGCCCTTCTGTCTTCCACCTTTACTGTTGGTACAGCCGAAGAATTCTGTGCAGTCGTGGAAGAAGAAAATGGCATGTTTATGTGAAGTACTCACAGCTAACCTGGGAATGTCATGGTTCATTTTCCATTTCCCACTGTGCCATTTGGCCTTTTCTAACGTATGTAATGGTTAAACTCTGAAGAACATAAAGAATGCTTTCTTTCACTTGGTTACAAGTTACTAGATATTGCTTGAGTAATAAATGATATAAGTATATTCACTCCCTATTTGATTTAGAATTATGTAGTTTAGTGTTTAGACATAAAGTTTTTTAGAAGCACAAGTTTATAGTAAGTTCATTATGAATTCATTATAAGTTCTAACACTTATCTAGGAGTTATGT